TGATGTGTTACTAGCGTCACGTGACCTCGATGACGCAACAATATTAAAAAAACAGCTGGATATCGCGTTTTTCTTTTCTTAGATCTTTTTCAAAACCCTACTACGACTGGATATACTAATAATGCAAAAAATGTTTATCAGTCGTATTGATTGTTGAAATATTTGTATGACGAACAATACATTACTCACTGACAGGTTATAGTCCATGAGCCAAATCCCCAAAACTGAGAGTTGACTACCAAACAGAGGAACTAAACGCCACTATATTTTTTAGTTAGTCATATATCTGAAGCGTCTGAAAATATGTAGTGGACACTTGAGATCCACAGCTAAATTACTTTTGGTAGCTATATTTCAAGGTGACTACCAATCCATGAAAAATCACCATATATACAAGTTATTTTGCATCTGGACACCTAAATCGAAGGTCGCCTTGACAGGGTGTATTTCAAATGAGGTTTGACTTTCAGCAATGTTTCTCTGTGAGAACTGAGTAACAAAGCTCAGAACTAGATGTCCAGTATTCCCGTCAGTGGGACATCCAATTTTTCTAAGATATCCGCATAGCCTATATTGACAGGGCTCAAAATCAATAGGCTTTTTCCCACAAACAAATTGATGGTCTACACTAACTGTCAAGATGGTTGGTTGAGGCACTCCAGACTTTCTGCGGTGAGAAGAAAATCCAAGATGACCACCTGATATTCTTTCTGAATTTTGGACCGAGTTCAAAATCAATAGGCTTCTTCACACAGAATTATCAACTGTCTATACCACCTTTCGCGCAGATTGGGGCCGAGCAGTTTCAGACTTATCACTGTAACGATGAAATCCAATATGGCCACCTAGCAGCCATATTGGATGTTGAAACAGGCTCAAGATCAACAGGCTTCTTTTTACAGACCAACGCAGTGTCCGTGCCAAGTTTTCTGATGATCAGATAGAGCCTTTTAAAGCTATCGCTGTGAAAATGACGGAAGAAAAAGATACAAAAAACTGATGACTAATACATAAGGCCTTCCAGTCTCAGAGACTGGAGGCCTATTAATAAAGAAATTCAATATTGAAAGCGTGTTTAATTAATCGAACTATAACACATTTTCATTCAACATAAAATTTATTCTCTGACATTTGTTTGAGGCATGTCAATTTCTGGACTGTAAGCTAAGTAAAAAGAAAAACAAAATCAGCAAAATGCTAGTACTGGTTCAACCAACAAAGTTGATAAAGTTAACCTATGAATAGATACAGGCTGTAATGGATGGCTGCTAAAGAAGAGAAAAGCTGTCACCCATGTTGGCATAAGTAAGTTGTTTGCACATCTCTGTGCATTTCAGGCCATTTATAATGCATGTGCAATCAGTAGATTGACCAGATCAAGTACATTTGCATGATATCAGACTGAGGACGACATCTGGAGCTGGGGAACCTGGCATCGACTGCGCACTAGATTGCCGATGAGATTTGTTACCCATCCGTGTTCTGCACTAGGGATAGGAATATCTGGGGAGTTTATCAGACTTCGTCGCCAGATAGCAGCCTGGTAATTTGAACGACGTGTGTACTGCAGCAAACAGTCCTCACATGATGGGAATTGTCCAGATTCGATTTCACCCCTTTTGCTATGGAACATTTGATATCGCAGCTCATTGACCTCAAGTACTTTGCTGTTACGACAGTATAGTTGACAAGTAAACTCTTGAACAAGAACAATACTGAATATTTCATCAGAAGGGTCCAAACATGCCGAGTGAGGCAAATGCTTCCAGGAGCTTCGGATCGCATATCATTTGTTTCAATGCTTTTTGTTTCCCTTTTCCAGCAAACAAGATAACTGTATCACATCCAGTACATGAATGAAGACCTATCATCGCTTTGCAAACATCGTTTCCAAATGCGTTAGGTAGTTTTGTGATGTCACAAACCTCACAGATGATTTTGAACTTCATTTCAAGAAGATCCTACTGTTGATACTCTGGCTCATCCCTAGACAAATAATGAAGACATCAGTATCATTTGTCACATAACTAGATTTGGGAAGTTCTTTGCAGCGTGTTTGGCATATAACAGAAGACACGTGTCTGCCTATTCTTCTCCAGAATCTCTTTCCATTGGATGTTTGTAACAGGAGATACATGTCGTCTTCTCTTGTTCAGTTATCGCGCGCCACTCCCTTTCCATTGATATTGAGGTACATTTTGTCAAGGTTTGTTACGGTTACTTTTGATTTAGATGCCCACATGCAAACTAACATGCATTTTTTATGATTTTTTAATGAATTGGTAGCTATCTTTACAAATGGCTGCCAAAAAGTCATTTAGCTGTGGATCTCAAAAATCTATCACATTATTTAGACACTGCAGACATAAGGCTAACTAAAAACCATAGTTACGAATTGTTAAATTTCTAACGATATTTGCAAATTCCTAACAAACGGAACACACACACAAAATGGTGTTTGAAGGTATCCTGCCTTCAAGCAATCTTGATATATTCTTATTTTGATGCTAGTAGTTATACTACAAACACGTACTCAGAGCAAATTAATTTTAAAGAACGCCATAAATATTAACATTTGAAATTTCACCACAAGGGGGGGAGTTAATTGGTTTATCTTGAAAAATCGTGATGGCGGAGTTATTGTCGAAGAAACCTGCGAAGAGCATTTTAAAAACTTCTACTAGTTTCGAACAGCCCGAAAGTCAGAAACCGTATGTAACATATATACTTTTATACTATTTGAATAACATGTTTTTGTTTTTTTTCATCTTCTACTGGTTTCTTTATAAGGGTTGTTTATTTATTATGATACCGTTTGTAATGTTGCATCATTAAACGTTATTGTTAGTAATAATATTAGAATTACTAAGCCTACGTACTGAAAGTTAAAATGTAGTCGTTACATTGCTAGTATTTACTGGTACGTTAATGATGCGGCGGCGGCGGCTTTTGCCTAGAGTTAGAGGACTAAAGGTTATCAGTTTTGGAAAACAAATATCTTAACATGTTAAATATTTGTGTCATTATCTCCCACTTAAACATTAAATATATAATAATAATATTATAATATACTACTACCAGCAAAGTTACCTGGCGTTGCCCGGGTTTTCGAAAAAACAACAACCTACTCTCTCTATTTCCCCATTCCATATTTCAAATATATTTTGTGAACTTATGAAAAAAACAACCTTAGGTTTGATTTTTGAAAATAAACTATGAACCTGTTTTAAATCAGGGATTCCTTATGAACAATGTTTTTGATTTTCCTTCACTGGCAAGGATAAATAGGCCCTTATCGAGAATATTAAGATTATCTTATACACATATGAGTACCCCTTCTGGTGAAGAGGATAAGCCAAGCTTTATTCCCCCCATCCCCTGACTCCCTCCTCAAATATTAAAATTTCAAATGTAAGTGTATGTAATATTATACTGAATTTGCTTTAATATAAATTTGATATATTTTTTATGAGTGTGATACCATATTCACATTATGACATTGATGTATGAAATATACTACAAACAAAATGCAATATTGTACTTTATAAGATATCAAAAGAAAAAAGAATTCCACTTCCAGTTATCGAACCATCAGGAAAAGAAAGTAGAATAAAATACATTCGCAAACTCGAGTTTAATCTCATTTTACACAATAAGTATTCTAATGTAAGCCTTACTCTTTTCCGTAGTCTTTTTATGGTAGATAGCATAATTTTATTTTATAGGCTAGGCTTACTTTTTCCTTTTCCTTTTTCACACACACACACAACATTCTAATTTTGCATACATTTCTTTTGCATGTTTGATGTTAATGATCTATAATAAAATAGACCTATAATGCTATATTCTAAATTAAATGTTAACTAAAACTTATCAAAAAATGTCAAGTCTATGTGGAATTTATTTGTGTAATGTATTTGTTAATGTTAAAAGTACTGGTTTGGCTAGCAGACAATAGATGTGTATGTCAATGAAAAATGTCGTTTTTGGTACCTTCACATGAGGAAAGTGTGAGCTGTGCAATGAATGCAGCAGACAAACAAGCCAGCAAATGGAGAGATTTTGAGTTTTATATATATATTACTATTAGTATTAGATCATGTGTAAAATTGGAGTATAACTATAACTAAACATTAATTACTGTTCTCAAGAACTCTGAAAATTGACAGTTATGTTTAAGACATAATTACTTTAGGAAATTGCTACTCAAAAATTACATTTCAGTTAAAAAGGAAACATATTTTATGGGGATTATAAGTGATGTTTATGATAAGTTTCAATCAGATGTTATTGTGATGTGTAGTACTAGTAACTTAGCTTACAGGTCATATTGTGCATAATCAAATATCTATTGAAATATATTAAATATTAGTTACTACCCAAGTAGTAATTTGAAATATTTCTGCTGCAGTTGTTTTATCACAATTTAAATGAAAATAATATAGAAAGACCTTTAATAAAAAGTTGATAACATTATGAGCCAACATGGGACCTATTGGTCCATCTTGATTGTCCCATTCTCTAAACTAAATTAAAACTATTAATAAATAAGTTAGAAAAAGAAAAAATCTTAAAGCCAGCCCTTATCATTCATATACTTATCAAGCTTTCTCTTAAACTCACTTAAATTTACTGCCTTCACAACATCAGAAGGCAATCCATACCAAAGGCCAACCACTCTGTTAGAAAAATACAACTGTCTTAGCTGAAGATGACCCCTACACTGCCAAGATTTATACTTTTGTAACCTAGTCCTACTATTCTCGCTGTTAAATATGAAAAAAGATGATGTATCAACACAGTTAATTCCATTTACAATCTTAAACACTTTAATCAGATTCCCCGTAACTCTTCTTTTTTCAAGATGAAATAATTTGAGAGATTTCAACCCCTCCATCCCAGGCATCATTCTTGT